CGTTTCTTAATTTTTCATTAAATTCACCACTTTTCGACCGCTTATATCTCCATAACGGCTTGACCGATTTAAAATTTTTTTGGCTCAAATTACTTGTGGCGATGCCGCCTTTCAGGACATATAATGTTCGATTCAAAATTTTTTATATTTTAGTAATTATGCACCTCCCAAAAATGGACTTTGATGGCTCGGGATAAGAGACTTGTAGCGTCTCGCAGTTTTTGAACATGGCCGGAGACGCTACCGCGTCTCCTGATTACTCAAGTGACTTGGCGGCAACGAGGGCGAGCAACTACACTATTATACATTCTCAAATTAAAGCGTCTGAGCGGAGGGCACGTATTCACGGCAACAATGACTCGAAACGCCTAGAGGCGACCGATCCGGAATCGGCAACGAAAATTTGGAGTAAAGCCTCACGTGAGCCTCACTCGAGACGGATATCACGTACCGCGATCGGTGGTTTTACAGAATTATTAGATGACGCCCGCCTCACCACGCAACGATCCCTCGTCGATCCTTTATCGGAAGACCTCGTTTTCTCTCTATCTCGGCAACGGCAAAATTCTGGACCAGGCCTCAAGTGATCCGGAGATCCTGCGTCCTCTTTACAAATCGCTCACCGCACAAGTGATGATCGGGAGCATTCGCGGATCCACGCAGGCCGCTAGACCCTCTCTCATCGGGCCGCTCCTTGCTCTAATTGGTCTATTGTAGTCGCGCAACCCCGCGACCAATTACAGTGAGTCCTGCGGGTTGCGTATCCTTTGAGTGTTCGGCGCGCTTTTCCAAATTAGCTGGCCGAGGCTTTCCGTCTTTATCAGCGGTCTTCTATCGCTCTCCTCAGAGGTGGAGGCGGCTGCCAATGTTCTGGCCGTGCTGAGACGGTCCCTTATTACGTCTCTCTCCGAGTCGTCTGCAATAAAGGTGCGACAATCATCAAATAATATCATAATTATCAAAGGTACCAAAACAATACGACCTGCGCTCCTCGAGGACACGATCGGGATCTCCTTTGGTGGTTTCTTGCTTCCTCGGCGTCGTCTTCTTTCTTCCTTCCGTGATTGAGGCGGCAACATTACACAGATTTAAACAACCACCGCTCACGCTCTAATGTGACTAATAATCGTTCTTTAAAAATCTGAAATTACTAAATATTTTATGTAAAAGAATATACAAAACGAAACAAAAGAAATATAAATTTTTGGCACGTTCGCTTGTGCCCTCGCCCTTCGAGCTTAGAGGACACAGGATCTCCGTGCCAGTGCACTTACGAGTGACGGACACAAAGTGTCACGTCACACTACATAGAGACGGATCGGTAGAGTGACAGTGCTTTTTACCAAACCAAGCGCAGGTCTGAATTCATAGAGCCGACAGTCGACGATACTTAAAAGAAATATATAATTTTTATACTTCGATGATACTTAAGAAATGTATAATTTTTATAAGAAATATATAGTCATTAAAAAATATATAGTCATTTTTATAGTTATTTGTAATCATTTTGTTATCATTTTTTTTTTATAGTCATTTTTATAGTCATTTTTATCTAGCTTACATTAAATCGTTCTTAAAAATTAAATACAATTAACATTTATTAAATACAAAATTTATTGAATATGTTTATACACATGAGAATACACGTTAATTAATTATGTACCTATTAGAATTACTCCTTTGTCTCTATTTACATCTAGGTCATCGTCATCTAGGTCACTGTCATAATTTAGCGGTTTTTTACTTATGTCTGTTATTTTGCCAAGGCACCTGTCCTTCACTACAAAAGAAATTACAAAATTCATTGCGCATCTGAATGCAGTTTCGCGCACTGGTATTCGAGCCACAATGACCGATATCTTGAAAAGCGCAGCCATCTTCAAAGATTCTTCGCCAAGAACCTAATGTGAAACTACTTGAATCATTAGAATTAATTTCATCCACCATACCCGCAGGAACGTATGTATTTTTATCAATGTCGTCTTTGCGGATTAAATTATGCAGACAAACCGTCGCCTGCACCATCAATTTAACATTCTCTGGGGAAGCAATAATTGGTTTGCGATATATTCGCCATTGACTAGCTAAAATACCAAAAGTATTTTCGATAAATCTCCTCGCACGGCTTAACCGGTAGTTGAAAATGTCCTGTTCCGATGTTAGTCCTTTTTTGCCTGGATAAAGGCGCAGTAAATATGGTTTTAGGGGAAATGCTTCGTCTCCTATGAGACAGTATGGCAAAATTCATCCTCCTGCAACAGCTGATGGCTTCGGTGTATTCATGGAGTTTGTATTAAAGTTCTTGCCAATAGTACTGTTGTTGAAAATGCTTCCATCGCTTCGTCGTCCGTATGCTCCGATGTCAACAAAATGGAATACATAGTGTGCATCACAAATGGCCATTAATACTACACTATGAGCATGCTTATAGTTGTAGTATGTGGAACCAGCATTGTTGGGACACTGAAACAAAATGTCACATGTATACAATAATATTTGTATTTTTATACTTTTAGATTTAAATTTTATATCACCGAAGATGACCAATGATGACATTACTTGGAATACATACTTGTATTGTTACATGTTTTCCATCGATGGCACCTATGCAATGAGTGAAATTAGACAATTCTTCAAAATCATTTGCAATTTCGAGCCAATCTTTTTCTGACAATGCTGACGGTAAAACTAAAGGATACAAACTGTTCCAAATTGCTTCGCATGTCTCTCGAATAATATTACAAACTGTTGTTACTCTAACTAGATATTGGTATGACATTGACGTCATTGAATCGCCAGAAGCAAGATACCTAGAACATTGCAGGGAGATATAATATTTAAGTAATAATATAATATTTAAGTAACTAAAGTAGTAAATAACAGTTTTGTATATAAAATTTGCAGTAATTTAAACATTTACAAACTTCAATATTATTGCCAAACGTTCTTTCGGTTGTATGGGCTCTCGAATAACACTTTGTTTTATCAATAACGGACCAACAATCGACAACAATTCCTCCAATTGTGTAGCGGACATTCGAAAATAATTGTGAAATCGTACTCCATTCTCTACGGTCAATTTAGGAATTGAAACATGGTAAAAACTATGCTCCAGACGATCTTTTAGATATGGTGCCACCCAGTATTGCTTTTTCTTGTACGATCTCTTCTCATTTTGGTAATTATACAGAATCACTCAAGCAGCTTAAAAATCGATCAAATTAGGCTTATTCGAAGCGTTTTTGCATGAAACGAAAGAATCTGGCAGAAAAAAGTGTCGCTCTGCCCTACGAACCGAGATATTAAGCGTTAAAGTTTGAGATTTTAGAGGTTAAGATATTTGTCACTGCTTTAAAAATAACAAATTACTGCTTTAGAAACACAAAAACACTGCTTTAAAAATACAAATTCACTGCTTTAAAAAACAATTCAATTTAAAACAATAGTGGAGCCCCCCCCGCAGGGGAGGCAGAACCCACTGCATCCACGCATACACTTTTAACGTAGAAGTAATATGCGTGGATACAGTATGTTCCGCTTCCTCAGTCCCTCTATGATTGTACTGTTGCTGTAAAAACAACAATTCGCTGCTTTAAAAACAATAGTGAAACCTCCCCGCAGGAGGGGCGGAACTTATTGCATCCACGCATGTTATATCTACGTTGTAAAACTGTTTGCGTGGATACAGTGGGTTCCCTGCGGGGGGACTCCACTATTGTTTTAAAGCAGTAAATTGTTTTTTAAAGCAGTGAATTTGTATTTTTAAAGCAGTGTTTTTGTGTTTCTAAAGCAATAATTTGTTATTTTTAAAGCAGTGACAGATATCTTAACCTCTAAAATCTCGAACTTTAACGCTAAATATCTCGGTTTGTAGGGCAGAGCGACACTTTTTTCTGCCAGATTCTTTCGTTTCATGCAAAAACGCGTCGAATAAGCCTAATTTGATCGATTTTTAAGCTGCTTGAGTGATTCTGTATAATTACCCTCATTTTTTTGCAACTTTTGCATAATTGCACACAATATCAGTATTCGTCGTTTCCTAATCTCTTTAGCTACTATCGACGGCAATTCATTTCGTAATGTTTCTGACAAACTATTCGAGCAGTTTAAATTTACTTTGACACGCATTCTTAACCTTTTTTTAACATACGAATTAAATCTGTAGAAAAAACGATTTAAAAAAAAATAGAATATTGATCCAGCGGCTAGCTTCTTCTTTTAGGTTAAATAACTCCTGCCTCTTTGAATTTAGCCGCTAGCGATTTGACGCTCCATGAAAAAGAAGGAAGACTTTAGCGGCTGGCGTTTTGCGACAGCGGCCATAGGGGGTCAGAGTGGGGATAGCCGCTAGCGTTATGAAGCTGCATGAAATGGCACCTTAAAGTGTAAAATATCTCGAAAACTATTGGTTTTTTGGTATCTCTACCTTAATACTTTTATATGCAAAATAATTAGAGGAATCACGTTATCTAAAAAAAATTACATAATTCTATTTAAAAAAGTGGAGGTGACCTTAATATCTTTTTAGCGCCTCCATCAAAAAAACAATTATTGACATCACATTATGTGCCCCTCGAAACCAAGCAACTTTTGTTTGACACTTTTTCTTCTATTGTCAAAAACAAGCGAGTTATTCAGGTGACCTGTTTTAAATGCCCCTCCCATATATGTAAACTAACAGAAAAATATAGTTAAATTGAAAAGAAAAAAAGTACTTTTTATATAAGAAATAAACATTGAAAAAATGGCATTGTAAAAGTATCAATAAATTAAAATAATATTTTTCGTACTAGGGCGCGTAAAATGCGATTTTACACCCCGGAGAATTGTAAATAAATAACACCCAATTACTCCCCACTCAGCAAAACAATCCATGAACCTCATTCCCCACCTTCACAGCTCCCTAGTACGAAAAATTTTGTTTGCGACTCGGGAGTAAGGTTTTCACACCCGCGTGTGTTCGACCGTACACTCGGGCTGGCTTCGCCAGCCCTCGTGCCGTCGAACATCCTCCGGGTGTAAAAACCACTTTTACTCCCTAGTCACAAAAATAACTATTAAACTAACATTAAACTAATATATGAAACTATATACTGTGTAATAACTAGTTTCGACTCAACTATAGAGTCCTATTTAGATTTGACATTCGTATTGACGTTGAGTAGGACAGATAACCGCATTTTGTGAGATTGATAGTAAAATTAAAAATTATTTTTGTAAATTTGTAAAAAATTTTTTAAAATTGATATATGAACTGCGAAAAATAAGTATAATATACAATACATACCAACAGATTTAAATCACATTTAAAAATATTGGTCGATCTGTTTAACAATGCTTGTACAATAATAAAAATCAAACTAACAGGAGATGTCAAAGAAAAAATAATCAATAAAAAGTAAATTATAGATATTGTCAAAAAATAAAAAAGATTGTATCGCATAACATTGTGCAATCAATTATGGAGCGATATGTCAAAATTATGCGACAGATCAACACAGACTAAATACCAAATGGTAAGAACTGATATTGAAAGATCAAATTTCATTTACAATAGATATATACAATGCTTTATGAAGATCTTCTGTGTCAGTTTGTTAATTTAAACTATGTTTCTGTTTTTTAATATTTAACATCTCTGAAACTAAGCGCTTTCTATAACAAGCTTCTTCATCAAGGATTTTTACATTATTCCATTAAAAATCATGATCATGGTTTAATCTATGTTCAGTTATTACCGATCACACAGATGTATTATATCTGATGTAACTACGATGCTCGTTTATTCTTGTCTTTAGTTGTATGCTTGTCTGTCCTACAGAAGACGCTTCACAATCGTTACATTAAATCTTGTAGACAACATTATTTTTGGATGTGTTTAGACGAGAGTCTTTTTGTACCTTCATATATTTACTCATTTTATTCGGACTACGAAAGGATACTCTAATATCGTTTTTGTTAAATCGTTCGAATTTTTCTGCGTGGATTGGAATGAATGGTACCGTGAGCCAAGATAAGTGGACTTACGATACCAGTCAAATCCATCATTCATTGTGATATCTAAAAAATCCAATTTATCTCCTCCAATTGCTAATTTGAATTGAAGACGAGAGTGAAAAGAATGAAAGCTTGAAACAAAATATCTATTTCTTCAGATAAGGCTGCGGTGCAAATGTCGTCAACATATCTAAAATAGAAAAGAATATCTTTATTATTTGACATCAAGGTAACTGTCTCAAATCTCTTCATAACCAAATCCGCAATAATGTGTGATAGAGGTGAGTCCATGGGTGTGCCATAACATTGTCTATATATTTTATTGTCGAATATAAAGGAAGTAGAATCTAAAACGAATTTGACAGCTTTCAAAAACTCTTTTGTTGGTAATGAGCATTCTCTAGAGATGAAACTCTACTGTTCATGAACACAATCCAAAGTAATGTCAGTAGGTACATTTGTGAACAGAGAAATCACATCCAGAGATATTAGCTTATAATTTGTTATGGTTTTTATACTTAAAATTAAATATTAAAAAACAGAAACATAGTTTCAATTTACAAACTGACACAGAAGATCTTCATAAAGCATTGTATATACCTACTGTAAATAAAATTTGATCTTCCAATATCAGTTCTTACTATTTGGTATTTAGTCTGTGTGGATCTATCGCATGATTTTGACATATCGCTCTATAATTGATTGCATAATGTTATGCGACACAATCTTTTTTTATTTTTTGACATAGTATCTATAATTTATTTTTTATATTGATTATTTTTTTCTTTGACATCTTCTGTTAGTTTAATTTATATTATTGTACAAGCATTGTTAAGCTGATCGAATGAATATTTTTAAATGTGATCTAAATCTGTTGGTATGTATTGTGTATTATACTTATTTTTCGCAATTCATATATTATTATTAAATTTTTTACAAATTTACATAATTTTTAATTTTACTATCAATCTCACAAAATGCGGTTATCTGTCCTCAACGTCAATGCGAATGTCAAATCTGAAGAGGACTCTATAGCTGAGTCGAAACTAGTTATTACGTAACATATAGTTTCATATATTAGTTTAAAAGTAGTTTTAACTTATTTTAAGTATTTTTTAAGTTTTTTTTCATAGAATTAAATGTAGGTTATTTGGTACTTAAAATATTATTTTAATTTATTGACTTTTTCATAAATATAGATATTAATTTTTCTATCATCATTACATATGTTTGTATATGGGGCATTCCACGCCAAGTGGGCCACCCATTTTGCGAAGTTCCATGGATTTCGTTCATATTGCGTGAACTTGAACAGTTTGATGAATAAAGACTCTATGCCAAATAATATACCTGTAGGCCAACTGGTTACCGAACTGTAGAACCGTCAATTTTTGGGCTTTCTCGTTGCAGCGCTCTTTTCGCTTGTCGTTAGTGGGCATGAAAGGCAATTTTGAAAATAAAGTGCAGACGTATTCTTATAGAAAATTGAACGCTCTTTCACGTAAGAATATTCTTTTTTTGATCAGACCGGTTTACGATGATGTTTTTCAGTTTTAAACTTTTCAAAATGGCGGCGCGCCTAAAAGGCCCCTCTCAATTTTCTTTTAATATAGCTCAAAATGTAGCTCCAGGTCTCTACTTTGTTACTCTAAAAGGACTTAATGGGACACGCATTCGTTTGGGAGTAAGAGCTAGGAAAGTGAGGAAAATGAGTGGTGCGGCAGGGGGACGGAGCGACATTGCCTCACTTTCCTAGCTCTTACTCCTAAACGAATGCGTGTGCCATTAAGTCCTTTTAGAGTAACAAAGTAGAGACCTGGAGCTACATTTTGAGCTATATTAAAAGAAAATTGAGAGCGGCCTTTTAGGCGCGCCGCCATTTTGAAAAGTTTAAAACTGAAAAACATCATCGTAAACCGGTCTGACCAAAAAAAGAATATTCTTACGTGAAAGAGCGTTCAATTTTCTATAAGAATACGTCTGCACTTTATTTTCAAAATTGCCTTTCATGCCCACTAACGACAAGCGAAAAGATCGCTGCGATGAGAAAGCCCAAAAATTGGGTGGCCCACTTGGCATGGAATGCCCCATATACAAAAAGTCCGAATTTTTCATAAAATCAGCACATTACGAAATTTTCCAAAGGCTTCATCTCGGAAACTATTCATCGGACGAGGTTAAAAAGAAATCTCATTTTAAAGATAATTTTATAAACTTCCATATAATTTGTATACATTTTTCACCTGATACAAATCAGAAGTAAGTTATTTAGAAAAATGTACTCAGAAACACGTATAATAAAGGTTTTTCAGCTGTATCTCAGTAATTATTAGCCGTATACAAACCATTATAAAACCAAATGCAAGAAATTTAATAATCTTCCATTTTGATGATAACTATTTTTGGCGTAGGAGTAGCAGTATAAGATATTTCAAATATATTAACGAAGAAACATTCTCTGATTTTCATAATATTCGCAAGTCAAAATGCCTTTGAAAAATGATATCTCCGGAACTATCGATCGAACGACATTCAATAAAATCCCATTTTGTATGTAGTTAAATACTCTTTTATTGTATACGTTTCGCACGTAGATGCAGCAAAATTTGAGATATTCGCGAAGATATAACGAATTTACGTTCGAAAATAAGAGGTCTCTTAATTAAGGAAAATCTATCTGGAGAACTACTGGTCGTACAAGATACGATCAGTAAAGAATTTTGTAGAGAATTTTATTATTTTGAAAAATAGTTAAAAAGAAAAAGGACTACGAGTCAAAAATTCGTTAAAATATAAAATTGTTTATAAATAAAAATTGTCATTTAGTTAAAATTACATAGTTCAATTAGACAACAAACGTTCAGTCTCTATTAGGTCATTATCAATATTACAAAGACCGCAAGTTGTTAACAACTGTCCAAAAAATTATTATAAATTTTAATTAAAACATAAAAATTAAAATATAAAAATATAAAATATAAAATATAAATATAAAGAAATTAAAATATAAAAAAATATAAAAAGTATTAAAAAATAAAAAAATATACACAGGGTTTTCATTTGAAAACTTTCTAGCTGATTATCTCGAAAAATATAAAAGATACAAAAAAAGTTAAAACATGTATTCCATGATTTCGAGGGGGAAAGAGAATGGCACTCTCAATTTTTTATTTGGAGGGCGTTTTCAACGTAATTTAAAGGTCAAATCGTAAAAAACAAGTAACTTCTATAGGAAACATTTTTTTGTTCGATCACTATTTTAGGAGATATTTAAGAAAATAGCAAGGCATAGTTACTGCATAAAATTTCATCATTTATTATAACAAATGTTCAAAATGTTCTCAGTTGTTTGCTAAACAATAATAAAGACGATTCTGGAATTCTGAATGAACGTTTTGGAAAGTATTTGCTGGCATAGCTCTACATTCCTGTATAATTCTTTGACGTAAATCGTTGATATTTTCCGGTGGAGTTTTATAAACAACAGATTTTAAGTATCCCCATAAGAAAAAATCAAGTGGAGTTAGATCAGGAGTTCTTGGTGGCCATTCGATGGCTCCTCTTCTACCAATCCATCTCTATAGGAATCGATTGTTTAGCCACTGTCGAATTGGTAACACATAATGTGGGGGAGCACCATCTTGTTGGAAGCACAAAAGTTCCTCATTTAACAACAATTCACCATTTTCATCTTTTTGATTTTCAAGATTTTCAGTTATAAGTGCATCAATAACGTTGTCTAGTAAATTTAAGTAAAGATTACCATTCAGTTCGATTCAAAAACTCCACCGGAAAATATCAACGATTTACGTCAAAAAATTGTACAGGAATGTAGAGTTATTCCAGCAAATACTTTTCAAATGTTCATTCAGAGTTTCAGAATCGCCTTTATAATCGTTTTGCAAACAACGGAGAACATTTTGAACATTTGTTATAATAAATGATGATATTTTATACAGTCACTATGCCTTGCTATTTTCTTAAATATCTTCTAAAATAGTGAACAAACAAAAAAATGTTTTCTACAGAAGTTACTTGTTTTTTTACGTAGAATAAAATCCTATAATAAAAAATATACATTTCCATTTAAAAAAATTAATTTGACGTTTGAATTACGTTGAAAACGCCCTCCAAATAAAAAATTGAGAGTGCCATTCTCTTTCCCCCTCGAAATCATGGAATACGTGTTTTAACTTTTTTTGTATCTTTTATATTTTTCGAGATAATCAGCTGGAAAGTTTTCAAATGAACACCCTGTATAAAAAGGGTGTGCATTCTCACTTGCATAGTTGAAGTTGTATTTATTTCGGCACACTAGCAAGAACAATGTAATTCGTCTAGTTATACATGTAATTTGTGAAAGCGTGTAATTGTTTCTTGTAAAATAGTATCGATGTACTAAAAATTTATAAATTTGTCCGTTGTTAGAACAATGAGATAAGAGCCAAGTTTAAGATGTTAACATGAGAGGTTTAGAAATTCGAATGTTTATTACCTTTCTATTATTATAGACCTACATTGGCTGTAAAATTAATAGGAAAGAAGGAAGGCTGTAAAGTTGTTAATCACGAAAAACCGAAATTTCAACCCTTTTACGATCGATAAAAAACTTAGCGTACAAGCTAACGTTGGAAAGTTTTGAGATATAACTTCTCTCGCCTAAATAAAGATGCTTACCAATTTTCAGCTAGATTAGAATTTTTGTGGTTTGAAATCCTATAGTGACTGGACTAATATTACTGTATGATAACTTCATTCGTATTATTCTTTTAGCGATATACATAATATACTATGTAGTCCATTATGTATATAATCTTCTATTGTTATGTATTCAATTATCATTCTAATTTTCAAAATTTTATTCTAACTTAAATACATAAATTCTCCAATAAAAGAAATAAAGACGAGAACTAAATTAATCAATATTAATTAATATAAGGCTGTAGAAATATAAAATAATGCGAATAAAAAGGGGCAATTAAAGAGCCGACAATATAACAAAACCAAAAAACTTTAATTTAAATAATAATTATATATGTAGCTACGGACATTTCAACTCCGATCGGGTTATTTTCAATAATACAGATACAAATAAATTCGTTATACAAAATTCGTTATCCTTCGTAAATTACTTCTTTCATATTCTTCATGGTTTCCGTCAAAAAGATAAAATTTTAAAGTCAGAATGTACAAAATTTGGTGTTCTAAAAATAATCGTGATCAAATTCAAAAGACAGATTGTATAAAACTTAGTTTTATAAAAAAATTATATATATTTTTATAATACACACTAAGTTTTATACAATGTCTGTCTTTTGAATTTACTCACGATTATTTTTAAAACACCAAATTTTATACATTTTGACGTTTAAATTTCATCTTTTTGACGCAAAGTATGAAGAAATACGAATGGAGTAATTTGCGATGGATAACGAATTTTGTATAACGAATTTATTTGAATCTGTAACATTGAGAATGATCCGATCGGAGTCGAAACCGTAGCTACATATATAATTATTATTTGAATTAAAGTTTTTTGGTTTTGTTATATCGTGGGCTCTTCGCCCCTTTTTATTTGCATTAAATTAATCAAATTAAATAAATAATTAATTTAGTCTAATAAACATTTTTTTTCTCAGTGTAACATACACAGATAATTACATATTAATAGCCAATTAATGACATGTCATCATTAATACTGCATTAAAATAAGAACAATTTTTAATAAGAGATTAATTAGCAAATCATTTAATTCCGCCTTTCATTCAATTAGCAACGCGAAATGAAGATCTGTCAGAGATTAATTTCCATTGTTTTCCTGTTCGACGATTCACACTTGTTCGTTCACGAGACAGAAATATTGAAACGCGTTGAATATCGCGCCGTTTTTATCACTAGTCACGTGCGCGTCTCAAAATGTGAAATCGGACGCGTCTTCAACCAGGCGAACTCCGTGCGTTCGCGATCCCGGCGATGATTACCGTGAAGTGTCCACTGTTTTCTGCCTGATCTACCAGACAGCGGTACGATACCAGCCATGATCATAAAGCGGAGGGCGCGGTTTGAGAATCGTTAAACTTGCGTTCTCGCGTGTGCGACGAAGTCTATCTTTTCGATGCGCGACCTTGTCGTCTCGTCTTGTGTACCGAATCGCGTCGCGATCACAAAACGCCAACGATCACGATACACACACGTCGCGCAATTCCGTCGAGCAGTCGAGCACCATCGAGCACTCCTGACTCCTGTTGAATAGCTGGGCAAGCGTGGATACGCGGCGGCGTGCAGCGCATGCGCGTTTCTGTCCAATGACAGGCTAGGCTAGGTTAGATCAGGGGGTCAATCACGTACCTTTTCCCCTAGGGCAGAAACGTGAAAATTTTTTGCATGTATGTGTGTATATGTTCATACACACATTCATAAAAGTTTTCACTTTTCACGTTTCCGCCCTAGAGAAAAAGTTACGTGATTGACCCCCAGTAGGCCTATTCTGTAACTTCTTAACGACAATTTCACTAGATAGGGATATCGTTAAACAGACTTAACGACATTGTAACGAAAAATAGTATTCTGTAATTTAACATAACGATAAGTGTCGTTAAAAGTCTCGATAAAATACCGAATTTTATCGTTAAGATATCGAGGGGTATCTGACCCCTCGATAAGCAATAACGACAGTATAACTAGACATAATGACCAATAGCAGCGGTTCTGCTTAAACGCTCCGTTTGGCTATAAAATGATTGCCCATAATTAATATTGGAAGTAAAATTGCTGATCTGAATAATTTATGTATTTTGATCTGAATAAATTGTAAATAATATCTGAAAACCATTTATAATATCTGAAGATAATTATGAACTATCTGATAAAAATAATAAATTACATATAAAACACAATTAGTAAATTACATATAAAACCGTTGTTCTACTATCGATATGTGGATGACATTATTTTGGCACTCCCTTCGGACGGCATTGTTGATACACTGAATATATTTAATTCTATACACAAAAGATTACAGTTCACCGTGGAAGTTGGCACAGATAATACCATAAATTTTCTTGATACAAGAATCATT